CTCACAAATTCTTGAAAGTAAATATAAATATTATGTAACAATTATGTATATATCAATCGATCTGGCCCACTAGAAGAATTGAACTTGTCATCTACGAGTACCAATTTATGCCGGAAACTTCATAGGGTTGTCGGAAAACCCCATCGAGCATTCCTTGTTGCAAAGAAGGTGCCTGAGGAAGCTGAGTTAAAATGGTTGCAATAGAATTTGTGTCATCACAATTATTTTCTCCAAGAAATCTCTTTGTGGGAGGGGGCGAATTATCATTGTCTTCCTCAATATTGTTGTTCCAGTATAAATTCCTCTTCGAACCAACCATTAATGAAAGTTCGGATTTGGGAGTACACAATGAAATTAGCGAACCATTATTCATGACTACGTTGTTCATCATCCCTTGGTGCCAATTTTGATCATTTTCTAGTAATGCTCCATAGTTCGAGGCTCCCTTCGTTCCCATAGGCATTGATGGAGATCTCAACATCATTACATCGTGTTCTTGATCCATAGGCCTTTGCTCATTGTTCTTCTTGTAAATTCGACATAGTACCCAATCATCAAGCTGAGGAATCAAGAGCAAGTATCTTCAAAAAACATCCAACACCAATTGATAAGAACACGCAAACAATTCAGATTCCATATGTAACGATTCGAGTCTCTATGTTCAAACCGTTATATCATAAATACTATCCGCTTTATGAAAATCTCTGCTCATCTTATCCTTTATGACTTTCTGTCTCATACCCAAATAGGTGTCTTGAGTTCAAATTCTAGAGATGCAATAGAAAGCCATAATGGATAAGATAAACAGAAGCTCTCCTAAAACGAATAGTCCATTGATATAACAGTTTGGGCACACCATATGTTCTCATAAAAAAAAACACTTTCATTTGATTTTTGTTTACCTCCCAAAATCATGTATATAGTGAAGGTGATACCTGCAAATTTAAAAGGAAAAAAAAATCGAAGCACGCAAATTGATCAGCTTAAAGTGTGAGTTTTGGTAGATAATTACCCTTAAAGAGCCCCTTTTATTGGCTAAATCACACCCTGGAGACTTTGAATTTGGTTTGTTCTCTGTAAGTCTATATTCATGCATGATCCAATTGGTTTTAATCCCTTTAGGAGGCTTCCCTCCATAGAAAACGAGTGCCTTCTTCACCCCTACTTTCTGAGTTCCTCCGGCCGTCATAACTGGCTTATCAGTACCAGTGGCCTTCCAATATCCTGACGTCGCAGCCCGATTAGGCCGAGCTCCGTTCGGATACTTTCGGTCTCTTGGACTGAAAAAATACCATTCTTGCTTCCCAAATGTAGCCTTGGCTGAAAAATCAAGAACCGAACATTCGATATATATTGATCAATTCAGATATATATATATATAT